GGATCTGAATGGCTCAGTAATGCGTTATAAAGTTTTTCACCTCCCATCATTGGTTCTAGCCCAGAATGTTTGTGACTGAAAAGAGGTCTCAGTGCTTTACAAATACAGTGAGATGTAGTCAGTGCCCCAAGAGGTTCTCATTTGGAGAGGTACAGTGTGGATATTTAAGGGATTTTGCTGTACAGTTGGAAATGGAAATCATGGTAAAAAGAAGGTGATTGTTCCAAGTGTAGGGAGCAGCAAGCAAGACAGGATAAAGGCCACAGCCAATAGAGGAGCAGAGAGAGTAAACAAAATCTTTAAGGAAAAGGGAGAGTGGCAGAGTGGTGCTAATAGGACTTTTACTTCTGCTGTACACCCTAGTAGAAGCAGAAGCCTGAGTGACTGTGACAGAGAACTTTTTTAAATCAATTTTAAGCCCCAGTAGGAGAGAATATGAATAGATTGTGCTACACTGAGTATCAGAACATAACAGTGTCTTGCAGAGAGAGTTTTTAGACATTCAGAAGTCCAGACAGGATATGTCTATCTCTGTGTCAGGTATGGATAGTTGAAGCCTGTCAGCTTTGTTTTATATTTCTTTCACTTATTCCTTAGTAAGTTAGCCCCGATGTTCTTGAATTGGAGTTTCATTTTTTTGTGTGCTCTGTGTGTCTCCCATTGTAAAGTTCTGATAGCTAATGGGTCAAGAAGATACCAAGGGAGTGGGGTGGTATTCATCTCATGTGTATAGCATGTACTGTGTGATCTGTGCTGGTTTAAGCCATAATTGTATGGTCCGGGAGACTCTTTGAAGTTTCCTATTATAATAATCTCCCAGTTTAAAAGAAAAGAAGAAAAAAAGCCCAGCCAACAGTTTACATTGTTCAGTAATCCCATTCTCACCAATCTCCAGGCTTGTGGAATGTTATCCGTGAAGGTTTGAGGCATACCCCACAGAATAACTTCTCACAGGCGGTACTTGCAAAAATGTATTATCAAAAAAACTAGTCTTCTAGACTTTAGCACTGTAAGTTGCAATTGCTTTTAATGTTTTGAGAGTGTCATCTGATGGTCTAAAAATAAACAAGTAACTTGCTATCTATACATAAAGAATCAGTTTTGACATCACTGTGGACTGGGGGTGAGAGCAGGACTTTTGTGGGGTACTGTAGCCTCACTCCAGTATCCTGATTCATGGACAGGCCCAAGCAAATCCCCTGCTCGGCCTCAGTCACATTCTAATTGGAGGTGAGACTACCTTGGATTTCCTGCCTTCCTGTTGAACAGTCCTCAGTGGGAGGCCTTTTCCTTCCTATCTGAGGTTATGGTACATCCCTCAGCATAAATTGCACTGCTTGCACCGTATTTGGGGGGAGCAGCTCTTTCATGATAGAACCACTTCTTACTGATGCTGTGTATCAGTCACCTCCAGCTGTTTGCTGTCTGTTTATTCCAGGTGTTTACCACTCTGATGATGTAACTCACTTTGGAGTAACTCCAATCAGTGCAGCACCCTGAGTTTGATAAGGGGATCTTAATGGGCTTGACAAGATCAAAGTATTTTCATGGTAAAATGATTATAACTTAATTTTCTGTTTCTTCCTTTTATTGTCCCTATTAAAGCAGGCCTGGAGCATTAAAATATGTATCAGCATTACACAAAAAGGAAGTATCAAGGTAGCCGTGTTAGTCTGTATCCACAAAAACAACAAGGAGTCCGAGGGCTTCAGATCTGCTTTTTCTAAATCTGTCGTTTTTTGACCTTTCAGCATTTTATATTTTTTTCTTTTGTGAAGAAATATGATTTGACTTCTTGATCTGCTACATAAATATATTTCCCAATAGCAAGTATTCGGCTAAGAAAGGAGGCTTAATTATGTGTGTAGATATCTTTGAATTTAACCAGTCCAAATAATAGTAAACTCTGTTAATACTACAGACTCTGAGCATATATGGATCTATCTGGCTGACTTGCACCAACATGCTGAGATTACTGAATTTTTGTCAGTTGTTGAATAACTTTTTTACCTCCACATACCCTAAAGCAAGCAGACCTAACTTGATGAAGTCTGGATTTTAGCCATTCTCCAATGTAATAACAGTCACTGCACTTTCACTCCACTCGTATGTAGTATCTCTTCTACACAGAGTTTGAAACCTCCTTTCCACTAGTGTTGGATCACTTTGTAAATAGCTCCCAGCTTTTTTCAAAATCATGTTTCTAAAAGTTTGGAGTGATTCCCAAATTACTATTCCCCACTTGCATCTGAGAAACTCCAGCTGGCTGTGGTAGTAATGGTCAATCCATGATCATTACTGAGCAGGAAAGGGGACCTGAACAAAAGATTTCTTGGAGCTTCCTGCATCACAAAAGGGAGCCAGGGAGGATGTGAGAACTGGTATTTTCTTGGAAATGTAGAAGTTTTCTTCAGATCAAGGGCATTACACTCCCTGTCCTTGTCTTGGGCATCACACAGCTGGAGCTCGACTCTAAGGCCTGATCTACCCTAGAAAGGGTTTGCCAGTATAGTTCATACTAGTTCCGCAACCAAAATAAGCAATACTATCAGAAGGACTCTTTTGCTGTATAACTGCATCTATACTAGGGCTTTTTGCTGTTATAAAAATGTCATGAAGAATCACACCCCTTACTGGCAAAAGTTTGTGGTATAGTAACTCCTCGCTTAACGTTGTAATGTTCCTGAAAAATGCGACTTTAAGCGAAACGATGTTAAGCGAATCCAATTTCCCCATAAGAATTAATGTAAATGGGGGGGGGGGGGGTTTAGGTTCCAGAGAAATTTTTTTCACCAGACAAAAAACTATATATTTTTCTTTCACTCTTTGCACATTTGTAGGTGTCTGTGATGCTTTCAAGCGGAAAATTCCTGACAGTTGGTCTTCACAATGAAAAGAGTTTCAAGGCCTCCTGTACGAAGTGGCACATTATACTGCTAGTATTCAATAGAAAGAGCAACCCAAAATTTCAAGCTAGTCCAAGCACAGCAAAGAACCTTCAAGCTGCTGCTGCAAATGTCTCCTAACTATTGTAGAATGGATTAGTTCAGCATACACCCAACCCCACCTCTGCTGCCACAAATAAGTTCTACGCCTTTCTTTCTGGGGTTCACATGGCAGCAGCTTGGAGGGGGGCGTCTCAGGCCAGGAGTATACAGTAACTCTTCACTTAAAGTCGTCCCGGTTAACATTGTTTCGTTGCTGATCAATTAGGGAACATGCTTGTTTAAAATTGTGCAATGCTCCCTTCTAACGTCGTTTGGCAGCTGCCTGCTTTGTCCACTGCTTGCAGGAAGAGCAGCCCGTTGCAGCTAGCTGGTGGGGGCTTGGAACCAGGTTGGACCGGCAGCCCCCCTATCAGCTCCCCGCTCCCCTAAGTTCCCTGTGCTGCAGCCGCCCAGCAGGCTATCAAGGCAGTTCAGCTGTCCCTCCCCGCACTGCTATGTGCTGCTCCTGCCCTCTGCCTTGGAACTGCTCCCAGAGACTCCTGCTTGCTGTGCAGGGGGAGGAAGGGGGGAGCTAATGTCAGGGTGTCCCCCTCCCCCCTGCTCCTGCACCCCGCTTACCCCTTCTCCATATAGAGCAGGGAGGGGACATGGATGGAGAGAGACAGAGAGAGCTTAGGGCAGCAGCTGCTGTCTCAACTTCCTGATCCACTTAAAAAGACAATGCACGTAAGAGTGGGTCAGCTTACTCAAAGGGGCAGTGTGCATCTCTCTCTCTCTCTCTCTCTCTCCT